TCGCCCGCCCCCCCCCCCCCCCCCCCCCCCCCCCCCCCCCCCCCCCCCCCCCCCCCCCCCCCCCCCCCCCCCCCCCCCCCCCCCCCCCCCCCCCCCGACAGCCTATTTGGGGGCGTTTATGTGTAATTGCTCAGCCTCGAATCCTAACAAGGCGACCTGAATTCGAAAATACGCTTCTACCTGCTTCCGCTGACGTGATACTTTCCACTGTAGGTTAGGTTAAGAGTAGTCCCGTCTTACATACCTACTGCGCGCATACCTACCTCAGGCGCTGAACTAGTACATAGGTAGCTGGTACGGCTGAATGTAAGGTTGGAAGTTCCTGATGATCGCGGGTTAATAGTTTAGAAGGGTAAATTTATGACGTGAGGAACATTTATTTATTGCCCATGTTCCTGTTATGATTACTTTAGGTACCTAATGTATTGTATTTTATGTATATTTTGTATTTTGTTGGGCGATGTGTCCGGTTCCTGGAATTCCCGAGTATCATTTTCCGCATGTGAAAGGTGTGAGGTGTAAGGTGAGAGATAAGTGAGCTCATAGATATGTCATAAACGGATTAAAACTTCATAACCCCAGACTTTTATTTTTCATTACGCGTACAATAACCTTAAGTCTTGCGGGGCTCCGGATTTATCATTAGACACTAAAACTTTAAGACGACCTAAACTTGGATCAACTTAACCTAGAACTATGTATAGTTATTCCTGTTGCCTGTTGGCTGTTTCGAATTCCTTCTGATAGCGCACAACTACGTGTATCTACCTTGTACGTAAAAGGTACGTACGTGTTTTCGACCATAGTTCGCCTACGAGAGAACTTCCGAAGTCCAATAGAACGTAGGTTCTATCCCGGACGTTTAAAGGGGTAATACGGCTGGTGTAAATGATTGGCCTCGCGCGCCCCGGGTTAGGTTATCACTAGCCCTTAGGTGACCAAGCTCGTTACAAGGACCTTTTTCTATTTCGTCTTGTGTTTGCCTTCCTAATGCACACCTACCTACCTACCTACCTACCTAGGTACCTACCCTAGCTGCTTAGGTAGGTACCTATATTAGGACACTAAATGGGATCTTACCTTAGCCCCGACGAGGACATCTCATGCAGGGACGGGCGATTACAGGAGTCGGATTTCGATACGTGCGAAGGATGGAACCCGGCTGCAGGCTTGATATTACACAAGACTGGCGCCTATCCTCGAGCAGTCCGTGAGCAAATTTCTACAGTAGGCGGAAGCCGATCAGCTGATTTACATACAATTGTGTTGCGTGATGATGGTAAGAGTGAATTCGTCTGCTAACTGAGGCCGTGAACGCCGGCCGGCGCCGAGAAGGGCGAAGAGAAACAGAAACCCTATCTTTAGGGAGAATCGGAAAATCAACGGGGTAATGCAGCAACATGTGAAAAGCGCAAAGTGCAAATCGGATCGAATATGATCGACCGGGCGTATTCTCTGTCAACGGGTTCGAGGGGTCCAAGAAGGAGAAAGGAAAAAAAAGAGGTACAGAAAGTCAACGAATAGTTATCCGTTCCAGGGGTTGCAATTGCAACGGTATCGCGAGCCTTGTGCTCGATGCCTCCTACACCGCAACTTCTACGAATATGACGATATGACGATGTGGTAGGTATAGTTAAGAGGACGATAGGAAAAATGCTAAACGCTAAACGAATAAAATGGTGTAAGTCGTGCTCTTGCGCAACCCGGTCTGGTGATTGAATAAATCGAGAGATTTACGTACGGATTACTGAGATGGATGATGTGCACTGCCCAATTCGGCCTTTAGGGGCTAAGACCAAGGACCCTAAGCGTCACTTTCGAGTGTGACAACTCCGCGATACTGTCCTGTCTATTTCCTTCTGTGTGGAGGGACTGTGTGGGGTGCGGACAGGAGAACCCTTGCTCATATCTCCGCCTTAGCAGTACGTACACATATCGAGTTATTATTACTTTGAAACCCAAGCTGGCCTTTATTTGCGCCTTATGGGCTGTTTGCTTAGAAGTTGACCATTAGCATCCTAATATGGCGATATATTTATTGGGCAAGGTAACCCCAGCGGCGCGACCTCTTCAAGTCCAGTTTGGCGTGTGATAGACGTGAGAAAGCTCTAGTGTAGAGCTGTTCATACGTTCCATTGGATGTCAGGCAAACCAGTCTAGCCATGTGTTACTGTACCCTCGATAATGAAACTGTGAGCCCAATAGCATAACTATACGTGCTTGATATGAATGAGACGCGTGGGGTGGAGCAGATCCTTGCATTAGCTGATCCAACCAAAATAGCAACTAATAAGACGTAGGGTCGGAATCGCGATTTGAGAAACGCCCTTCACACCTATCGTTAAAAGGGAGCCAAGCAGGATGAGAAGAGTCATTTGCCACACGTTGCTAATCGTCTACCCAAACACTGCCATGCTCAAGAGCCCGCAGACGTGGTAAGCTGCCAGATCTTTTCATGTCCGTGATACGAACCTACGTGTTGAAAATTGTAACTTCGGCTGATTCTCAACCAACAGAGAAGGCTACCATGTCGGAAATAAAAGGAGATATGTATGTATATATTACTTACATACATAGGTAGGAGGTAGGTAGGTACCTAACGTATGTAATGTTACAGGGTTGTCGAGATTCAGGAGAGAGGTATGTCCCAGAGTTACAAGATCATGTATTTGTTGTGCTACACGCAAGAGTCAGAGACTTGTGTGTCTTCCATATCGGTAATTAATGACTCTAAGTTCTTAAACAGCAGGTCCTAGACTCCGTATGTATATATATCGTACGTCCAGGCGTGGGGGTTGCTCAGCCGATCCACTCCACGGGGTTGAATCCCTGCTTTCATGTACCCCAAATCCCCGCAGAAACCTTCTCTCAAGTTCGTACGTACGTACATTACGGGGAGAGATGCCGATAATTATCCAGGGCTACCGGGGCTGACACCATCGCGCTAAGGGGAAGGGGGGAGTGTAAGGGGGTGGAGGGTCTCGGTGTGCAAAGAGCCGACTTCTCGAAGATCGATACCACCTACTGTAACTGTGGTTGGACGAGGATTTACATATACTAAGCGCGCATATGAGGATGTAGACGCCTTCGTCTAGGGGTGTGTAACGTTTAGTTCAAGATTCCTCTTTATATGAAGCTCCTTAGCTACACCTCTAAAGCGGTACAAACATCCGTGCCCGAGAGACACGAGTTTCATAATGCGGCAAATGAGTACCTAGCTTGACTTTTGCTTTCATCCACAGGTTTGGGCGAGATATCATATCTCATTATGGCCCCTAAACCGGCATTTTCGGGTGAACGCCCCGGATCGCCAGGACTTTCAAAGTTCGATAATCAACCTTTACAGATTAGACAGCCCACGCTCCGTTATTGCTGGTAGTAACAGGATCCCATCCTATTGGTTCTCCGCATTGTGGCGGCGTATGCAAGAGTAGCGAAGATTTGGTACTTTGGACTCCGCCGTCTGGACACCAGCCCGGTCGGAACTTCACAATGCAGCAACGGTAGACGGCGCGCCGTCGTGACTTTTATGTGTGAGATAGATTGGCGAGGTGACGAGATCGCAAGGATATGGACTAGCCAGTTACCTCGCAGATCCTTCTTGATTAAGGAAAACCTGGCGATTTCCCCGGGATATCGCTACTATTTCGAGCTCGGGAGTCGCCTACCCACCATCAACGTGTAATAGCGTCGTCTTATGTGACAATTTATTAGCGATCCGTGCCCCACGGATGCCGGCGTAGTGGTGTAAATCCACCCTATCTCGAATCTCGATACTACGCAAATGTATGGGGGTCGATTGGGGGTCGAAGATCTCGACTAGTCCATCGAAAAGTTGTGGGGGAATTATGCGGCCTATCAGTGGTTCGGCACCGTCTTGAGATATTAATTATTTGATTAACTACGCATCTAAGGGGAGATCTTATTACTCGCTTCGGGGGCAGAATCAAGCCATGTTTAGAAAAAAGAACAGGAACAGGAACAGGCCCAAGCGATGCCGAGGGAAACGGCCGCGCAAGCATGAGGTTTCTGCCAGGAACAACATCGCCGTGTTCTCAGGTACGGTGTATAGCCTATGAAGGATCTTGCTCGGAACGAAAGAAGCGAGATTGCTCCAGTCGAGGTGGTGCATACTGTTCCTCTAGAGCCTAAAGAGCCTATCGGAATAGATGGTACTTGTCATCGTAGTCATCGTGAATGCTGCCGTCATCCTTACGAAATGTTGGACAAGACAAAGTATTACGGCGGCTACTTGTTATATCGGATTATATTAGGTAAAGGAACCCCTTACATTGCCGGTAAGTAACCGGAGCTAAATGGAATCATCCGGAGCTAGACGCCGTTGACGAACGTGTCGCTATTTTCCTTCTTATCCGCCAATCCTGTGAGGCAACAAAACTCATGCCATTCTGAGGTATGCTTAGACTAATATGAGTATGTTGTCGCCAAGATATCTATCCATAGATCGATCCACTTCGCCATGCTAGAGCCCTTATCAACGCCAAGTCTATTCTAATAACTAATGTCCCTAGCCGGCGGGCGGAGGGCTAGAGCAAGGTCCTATTCTAGATCAAGGAATCTTTAGGATTCTATGACATTAAGGTTCGTAACCCGTAGCCTTGTCATCAAGCCAGACCTTTGATGCTAAGGGAAAATATCGCCCGGTAATCAAGAGACGATGTATGTAAATTTGGTTCGGAACAGGTACATGATATAATCTCTCAGGTTCCTTACCTTGGCCTGGCCTTGGCTGCATTGCTTGGGAACCTGGATCGGCGCGAACCATCTAATCATGGCTCTCCAGTTCAGCTTCCATTCCTGTCTTCCGGATAGACGTACCGGTGCCGGGACTTGGAGAGCAAAGGAGTAGAGGTTCGTCGTTCTCCGCTTTGTGTAGATGAGGGTGAACTTGTTCTAAATTGGACAGTTGAACGAAGCAACTCCATTCGACTTCGCAATGTCAGAAGCAAGCTGAAAACTGCCTAATCCGTCGGCATGCATTCGGTCAATGCAAAGGCCGTATGGGTATTATCTGATCTTATCCCCCCCTACTTCACCTCCTTACTTTTCCCATCCCACCCATCTCTGCTGCATCATCGGCGCCGGACGACACGGTTATGCCGATTTGCACGGTCGTAAGCCAGTGTGCGGCCACGGGCGTTACGGGGTGCATATAATCATGCAGTTAATCCCCAGATAAATAAATATCTTGCTCAAGACGAGCCGCAATCTATTCCACATGTCGGCCCCGAGACGGGAGCCTACCACAGATCTATCTCCGCAACGGCTGATTCGGACTTTTGAGTTTGCCTGAGGGGAAGCCTGTCGATGTGGTATTTGTACCCCTTCTCCTCACCCTGTATTCCGGGTGCCCTTATCACTGTTGCCACCGGATGTTCGTCTACATATATAACTTTTGGTCGCCCTCTGCCGTGTAACCTCTATAATACTATACTACCTGTCGTACATCCATGTATTACTACTACTCATCAATCAGGGGCCAGCACGTCTCGCTTGGGGACTACAGAGCAGCCGTCCCGGATCTAAGGAGAGACATACGCTCCAGCGGGCTACCCCGACGACACATAGCGTCGCTACGGTAAGATGTTGAAACCGGCGAAGGGGCTCAATTCTGAAGATAGATGTGGTGGCAACTTCAAACGGGGTTATTTCATCTCGGCAGCCGGTATTTTAAGTTGCACGGCGTGTGCAGCCTATGCAAATCACATACTATCTCGGCTCGTACCGAAGTGTGGCGCCAGCAGGACGCCAATCCCGTGCTAGAATCGACGCCCTTTACATCTTGACCGAGTCTGGCCGCCGCAGCCATAAAAGCTTTTCTTCGGTATAGTAAGCCGAACTGCTTTGATTCCTTGGCTTTAATCACAGGGATGCCGTGCTACAGCTGGAACGCCGGTCCGGTAAAAAGCTTCGATGACGCTGTCGCGGTTATCTCCATAACCTTGAAGCTTCAGCCTGACTTAACTTAGTAACCATACCTACTCCTATTTCACAGGCGCTTGCCTACGGGTGACTACGGCTACAGATACCCTATCGGTCCTGACAGTTCGATGTGCGGCATCCGGTCCTCTAGGAACGGCGCCAAGGTGTCATATTCATAAACCGCTACATGAGGTTGCTCACAATCACACATAGTATCGGCGCGGGATAGGGGCTTGGAGTGCAGAAACGAACAGTCTCTAATGAGTGTTAGGATATCTAAGCGAGAGAGACATGCAGACATCATAGACTTTGGTGGGCATTCGAATACGCAAGCCGAGGCGGGAAACCAGGCCCGGAGATGTACGACTTCGTTCAGAGTTCATGATGCTGAGAAGACGTTCGTATGACGGCTCCACTGTGCGAACAGTGATCTCGTCTAAGTAGTCGATACAAGCCCATGATATTGAGGATATCAACATCTTAGCACAAGGCATTACGAATGCTTTTGTCGAGATGCAGGATTAGAGGGCATCCATTACTGGGTGAGGGTGAGGGTGACGTTAAAACAACAGGACTCAAGGTACTATAGTAAGTAATGTGAGGATACCGGGCAATCACTTTAGTCGAAAATAGTCTTAGGAGGTAGATAGGCTCTAGGAGGAGAGTCCCCCCCTTTTCATTGAGCCCACGGAAGAGTATCCTGCTTGATGGGGTAGGCTGTAGCGGAAACCAGTAAGTATGTAATGTTATGCAACTATGAAGGCCGAATATGAATTATCCGCATACAACCGGACGCCAATAATTCCTATCACAGCATATATGAGAAGTACAATACAGTCAAGGCGGTGGAAGGAGGCTTGGCCTCAAAAATAGAGAATTTATAACTGCATATCTGGATAATTAATAGTTAGGGGATAGCATGAGGTTTATACTAGTTCGATATTTGAGAATCTTAACGGTTAGTCTGAACTAACTAGATTCCGCGTATAGGTAATACATAGAAGTAACTCAAGGCCGTCAAGATAGCTCTACAGTCGCGGCGGATAAAGAACAGCCTTGGGGATTTGGTAACGGTTCATAGTATTTCTCATATTATACGAACCACGGTTATCTTATACTTGACATCGGCCTAGGTCTTAGCAACGGAAAAGTGAAGGATCATGAGTCTATGTCCTAAGTTACATTGTAAGATGAAGTCTAGCTCATATTTGGTGGCTATATATATACCTGCGGTATATCATCACGATATGAAGCAAGAACTGAAGGTATCTTTTGTTCTAGATGTCTCATTATAATCTTAACATATTATATAAATTAGCTCTATCTAAGTTTGTTAAGATTTCTAGCTGACTAGGTCTAAGAGAGCTAGAACTTATACATTAGTATATTAAATGGTAGTAATATAAACAGATCAACTACTTTACATACTATGCGTCGACGGAAAACTTTGCAACCCGAACCATCGCTATGTCTACTTGGGTAATTGATAGCTTGTGTACTTAAATTGAATTAAGGACTGGAAGATGAGAAACGTGTTATAACTAAGCCTGGAGCTATGCCTGGCTGATTTATAATACAATATAAGAGATATCTACCTCTCTGGAGTGTTCTCTAAAGCACCAACTCAATTAAAACTATTAACGGCTCATAAGCAATAGTAGTAGTGAAACTACCGACGCTCATATTGAAGCCCTGAGCCTAACCATAGGTAGAAAGGAATGATAGGGTAGGGGATGATCCTCATTCTTATGGGATTGTTAGGTGAATAGGTTGAGAGACAATAGGCTACTCAGAGTTAGGATCATAGAGGCCGTTGCTTTGTTTGTTTGTTTGTACGGTTAAACGTAAATGTGTGATTGTGGAAGATATCTTAGATTTGTTGATAATCTATATAATATTAGATTGACGGCATATAGACTTACGCCGACGATCTAGGCGTGATTGAGTTCCTCGTTCTAAGACTTGTCGACGAGAAAAGGAAACGATTGTAGCAACCGCCACTTCTCAGCTAGGTACGACGTCGTTATATCCCGTAGTTTACTGCCTTCCGTCATCACAACCTCGACGCTGTTAGCTATCCTAGTTTAGAGGAGGGTATATAGGACAAATTGCACTGTTTAAGCACCATTAAAGAGACGAAGCGGCAGCTTTAGCTGGCCGTTTTGAGTTTTTCCGCGAGATTAGTAAGAGATGAATAGTTCTTCGCATGTTAGGAATAAAATCATATTCGAATGGCAATTACTGAGGCTATTAGCGCAGTTGTGATTACGGAAAACAGAGAAGTGATGATAACCGCTTTCACTTACCTAGGCCACAATGAGTGGTAGAGATATCCGGGATGAACCCGAGTGACTTGGGACCAGCTGGAAAGGTCCAGGTTTATCAGATGAGATGAAAAGCAGTTGATCATGGGTGATATTTCTCATCTTAGCTGGACCTAACTTTCTATTAGAAGGTATTGATATATCTACGGTTCGGTTACAACATCTATTCTTAGCTCACACGAACAAACGGTGTCTTTTGAATGAATACAGTATTATTATTAACCTGGGATTTCGAACATGACCCTAGCACCGCTACATATGGTCTGGGTTGGCCAACAACAGTACGGGTCGCGGATGTCATACATATGACTACTAATAAGGGACCCATTTCGGGCTCGAGATATTGAAAAGAAAGCCAAGTCACATATATATCGATATATCGTAGTTAGTGGAATGATATTTGGTATGTATTACAAGTAATATATGTATAAAGTCGTTCGGTTCATATAGCTCACTAATATCAAAATAATATAGTATGGTATCTCAGAATAGGCCTAGTCCTGTCATTCCAAACTGATGAATCAAAGATCTAACATGCCATGCCCAATTGCCCATGCTCCTCTATTGAGACTCCCATGCTAAGTTGGTAATCCTATTTCCAGGTTTCAAAAAACACTTCCTAGAAAGGCTCTATTATTTTATGTCTGCATCATTAGGCGTATTTCCGCTCGCGCTCCCGTCCCCGGGCCTTGGACTTGTGGGGCTCTGAGGGCTCTTAGGACTCTTTACTCTCTTTCCGGCGCCTTTACCCACAATCTTCTCTGTCCAATTCCAGCTCGGGCTGGTAGCTCTTTGCTTGTCGTTGTCCTCGTGCCCTTGGGATGTCTGGATCTTAGGCCTACCATAAGCCATATCCATATCGATTTCACTATCATCCCCACTGTCCGCAAACTCGCGGTCGCTCCAGCTTGCAGAGTCGACCCTTTCATACGATGGACGAGGCGGCGAATCTCTTGAACTGTAACGAGTCGACTTCCTTTCCTGGGCTAGGGATGGTAGATCTGGAACAGCATCTGTGGCCTCGATAGCTTCACTTGCAGTATGCTTGTGGGTCATCGCACCGTCTTTGCCTTTCCGGGGTTGGGCGTCTTCTTGTGTGTAGGTCTCAGCGCCAGTCTCGTCAGGTCGCTGGTCCATAGATTTTGCACGGTCACCGGTTTGCTCGGCCTCATCTCGCATGCGAGCAGCTGCGCTGTCGCTAAAGTGAGCATCAACTAAGTGTTTGACAACAGGCCAACCAAAAGCATTGGCGAACTTGCGACGCACAATGATATTGTTGTGCGCATCCGGCTCTAGTTTGACCAAGACTTTTCGCCAACTCAAACCGCGGTGGTATGCACGAGCAATCTTTTCCTCAACCTTCATATTAGAGCTGTCAACAACATCATCGGTATCTCTACTAGGGTCAGTATGCGCAGGATCATCATAGTCGTGAGTTGAAAGTTCAGAATCTGCATGCTCAACTCCGGCTTTCGGCGAAGGGAGATTTATATTCTCATCTTTAGAAGATGAAGAGGCGCCGTTAGTGTTTGACTTGTGTCGGAAGCTAAGTGTCTTGGTCGTACGTTTCTTAAGTGGTGGTGGTGGAATATCGGACGGATGATAGACGCGATCATGAAATATGGTCCGTGGACGCTTTGAAGGGTCAATCAAGTAGTCCACCGTTGGTAACTTGGGATTAAGAATATCGCCCGCGGACTCAAAGAATGTCGTCCTCGGAGGAGCAGATACATCATTTGCCGGGTCTTCGCTAAGCTCATGACCGGAAGATACCTTCGACTTACTTGACGATGCCGAGTCCGTGACCGCGTCTATCTTCAATGTTTGACTGCGCTGGTAAATTTTGTTCTCCCGTGGAGACGACGGAGGTGTTTTACGAGTTGCTGTTTTCTGCGACTCGCTGGAT